TTCCAGTCACCAGTGATAATTAACACATCCTGATTGCATGTTTGGTCAATTTCAGACTATAGAAGCTGATAAAATTCTTCAATTTCCTCATCTGTGGCTTTGGTGGTTGGTGCATAAATTTGAATAACAGTCATATTAATGGGTCTCAGTTTTCTCATGATTAATGTTAACATGGTATATATTTTCATATAACTTAATTTTAATCTGTGACTTTATATGCAAAGTAAGTTTCCTTTGCACTGAATATGATTTGCCTTTTTTTCTATATCCAATCTAACAGTTTTTGTCTTTTAATTGTGGTATCAGATAATTTATATTTTATGTATTTATTGATACAGTTAAGTCTTTTATTTTTCTGTTTTTTATCAGCCTCATTTGTTCTTAGTCCTTTTTACCCTCTCTCTTAGTTGCCATAATAATTATGTTACCATATGTATTATGCTACCATAGTAAAAAACACCATAAGTGGATGGCTTTAAAGAAAATAAATGTATTTTATCAGTTTTGCAAGCTAAAAGTCCAAATCCCGGTCTTACCTATGGTAATTCCTTCTGTGGGCCTCTTCTGGTTTCTGGTGTCTACTGGCAATCCTTGGCACTCCTTTGCTTGTAGACAGCTTCTCACATAGAGCTTGTCTTTCCACTGTGTGCGTGTCTCTGTGTCTACTCTGCTCTCTTTATAATATACCACTTAAAATGATCAGGTTCAGGACTCACCTGTCTTTGGTATGGCCTCATTAACATAACCAAAAAAAGGCACTATTTCCAACCAGCATCACAATGACAGGTACAGGGCTTAGGACTTCAACTGAATTTTTTTTTTTTTTTAATATATTTTCATTTTTATTTTAAGAGCTTCTTTTACATTCAATGCTATGTACACATTCAGTTTCACTCCCCATTCACCATGTCTAACCCCAACCCCCCCGTCTCCTCCCCTCCCGACCCTGCAACCCTGCCCCTGTGTCCCTCATATACATGCACTCCTGTCTGTCTTGCATTTCCTCAATTTGAATGTTGGTCCTCTGGTGTCCCGTGGTCTATTGCTCTAAGGGATGTATTACCATAGAGTATGTGGGTGCAGCATCCTGGGTTGAGTGGTCTGTGTGTACATCTTGTTAACTATTGGGTTGAGAGCCCACCGCTGGGGGTCCGCTTCATTCCAGGTGCAGAATGTATTTCAGGGCCAT